TTTACAATCACCTGGAGCACCAAAACTACCCAGAACTGGTTGGCAGAACAGCAACGTGTTCATGCATTTGCTCCTAATGGTGTGGGCAACCCAGTCCCAACTCAAGATAGTGCTGTTTATGGGCACAACATGTTCATTTTATGGGAACAGACCTGCTCAGTGCTGGAAGACTTCCTGCAAGCCACTGTGGTGTTAATTTAGAAGATGGCATTCTTCCCAACGAGCCATTATTAAACCAATAACCCCACATTACCTCCAGCATCAAGGGGCAACGTGCTGTTGGAGGCAAGACAGAACAAAGGTCCTGGTGGCAGTAATTGCAAAAGGGCTTAGGGGCTGTTCTCTTTGGGGACGGCAGAGAGATGCAGCCTGGCCAAACTCCAGTGCTTGTGGTTTGGAAGGTCCTCACTGGAGTTGTATTGTGTGGATGTGCAGCGCTAAAGAGCTGCCGCTGCTGCACCCCGGCCTGGCTGAGTTACAGGCACTGTTTTCAGCATCTCTGCCAGAACCACGCCATCTCTCACGACTTTTATCGTGGAATGGGTTGTGTGCTTGTAATCAGCTTGGAAAATCTGCTTCTCAGCTTAATCCTAAAGCTCCATCTTTGCTACAGAAACAACTGTGTTCAGTAGCGCAGCCTTCCCTCCCTTCGGCAGCACGGGGAATCATTTGCTGGCCTGGGAAACTGGTCACAGCATAAGCCCCGGGGGCTTTGCAACATCAGTGTTTGATGCATCTGGTTTAAGTGCTGAACACATTGTACAGGCACAAGTGGACTGCCTGAACTGGGAACTCTTCTCTAGTGCTAAAACGGCCAGGCATTAGGAGAACCCTGACAATTCATGCGGCAATTCCAGCAGTTCACAGCTGGAGGCAAGGGGCTAATGCCAAGACTAAAACCACTGCCAAATGTCCCCATTCTTACAGTCCTGGTAACCTTAAGGATCACCTTGCATGTTCCTACAGCTTGAGAAGCATTTCATTTAAGTGCCTTCACAAAATGTCCTTCTGAACACACTGACCACACAGGCTTTGCAAGGGTGAGGATCTCAACCACCACCCCAAGATGAGGCAGAGCAGCCCCAGCGTTGCGGGTGGCTTTGCCATCACTGGAGAATGCAACTTTCGTGCCTCCATCTGTAACCAAACTAACACTAGCTCTCCCTTAGAGCTCTTTCCAAAGGAATCCCTAACCCAAGTCCTCCCAAGCTGCTTGGGACACAATGCATCCACGCAGAAGTCTGTTTCCATCTGTACTTTTGCAAGGAAACAGATAAGTGCCTTTCTAATGCTTTGGTTTGGCCTAACCAGAGCATCAGCAGTTGCTGTCTGACTAAGGTTCTAGCTGTGTTTCTTTAACAGGGAAGGTGATTAAGGAAACAGCTTGCCTGAAGAGGCTGGAATCTCCATCTAACCCATTCCTACATCTTGCCAAACATCCGTCCAGAATGAGTTAGGGAACTGATTTCTGCATGAGGCAGGGAGGCAGGCTTGAGGACACCTTCAGGTATCTTCTAGTCCTGCCTGTGACAGTTTGCTGTCTCTATCAGATTGTTCTGGGATCACACATTAGACACACGTTGACAGGGCTCTGCCATGCAGCTAATGATGACATTGCCTCTGTGCCTCTTGGCTCTTTCTACGAGACCTCAATTCTACGGGCTTTGAGGTTTTCAGAATCATTCACGTATTTAACTCCGCTAAGGAATCCCCAGCTTACAGACAGGAAATGTAAGTCTTTTTAACGTCCTTCTCCCCTGTTCTCACCTTTAGCACCTCACATCCCACAGACCCGAGCGCAGCCTCATTTGTCACGTGGAAGGGTTAGCTCGGGACTGTCCACTTCCTGCACAACTCCCTGTCTGGAGAACTGAGAAGTCCGAGAGCCAAGATCTGCTCCTGCAAGAAATCAGATTGATGGTCAACACCACAGCTGTGGGACTTGGAAGTAAAGGGACCACAGTTCAGCCCATTGCCTCCACGTGACCGTGCACCACCGATCTCTGTGCGCATCCATGGAAGCACAATATACACAACAGCTACTTCTGGAAGGTTTTGGCTAAAAATACAGGCCACAAAGCAGATCCCCACTAACCAGACATGACTTGCGAGTGCCAGGGCTCCCCACTTTGCTATGAGAGAGGGCAGCAAAGCCATTTATTTAGCAGCAGAGAGCCTTTCATGAGTGTCAGCATCCCCTCTGCATCCCCTCTCGCAGGAAGCATCTTCCAAAAGGACAATCTATTAGGAAACTAAAGGATCTTCACAGAAATGCATTACAGCGGCAGGAGCAATTTCCTGCTTCCTCTCATTTGAATGAACACAGCCATTTTTCTTAAGGGCCATACATGTATTCTGCAAAACTCCATTAGCCAAATCAAAACAGCAGTAGGTCATTTAGATTCTGTACATGGGAGAGAATAAAAACCCTGTCCTGAAGTACTGTATTGTAGTTAGAAACCACACCTACAGGATTTACTAGGAGCAGCAGCTCATACCTCTTCCTTCTTAGATGATAGTTCATAGCATAAGATACCCGAAATCAGAGATTTCACTACGCAAACACACTTTTTCCCCCATTAACGAAGTAGATTAGAGGAAGATACAAACATCTCATTTATTAAATCAAATAAGAAATGCAAAATATATTTCACATGCCTTACATGGAAAGGAGATGAGCTTCCAAAACTTTAAAGCAAGACTGGGCCAGTTGACACGCAGGAAATGGGAACATTATGAACAGTCACAACGAGGAGGAAGGACTGGGGGGAGGCAGCACGGGGACGATGGGCAGTTCCTCCCCACGCTGAGAAAGCTCTCCTGAAAACAAGAACGGAGTTTATGCTGAGCAAGCATCACACGCCTGAAGTTACCTTTCACACATACTTGTTTTGGAGGAAGTTGTCTAAAGAAATAAAACTGGCTAATAACAAACTAGTCAAAGCAGTGGTGTAAATCATGTGTACCACACTTACATGAAGTGGAGATGGGCTTAGTTTTGCACATGAGTAGGGGCAGTAGGAGAATCTGAAAACACCAAAGCTGGATCAATCCAGGGCCACATTCTGTGCGACTCCACTATTAAAATAAGGGGGGGAAAAAGTGAAAAATAGAAGTATTTTTCTAACTATTTTAATTACTTTGTCATCCTCCAGCTCTTCCTCCCTCTACACACAATGGAAGCTGAAATGACAACAGCAAATACAAAGCGTACACCAATAGTATGCGCCACAGTTTTTCTAAAGGGTCAATAAGTCCAGCAACTTTAAAGTGATCTATGTGCAAAAATAAACACAGGAAAGAGGTTCTTAATAAAAGGGAAAGAAATAAGTCCACTGCAGCCTCAACTTCTACTTGAAACGCGAACTCCGAGGGTCAGTTAGCCCTGAATTTCCCAGTGGATCAGTAACTCCAAGTGTGCTGCCAAACCCGTGACTTGGTGTTGCAGAACTGTCAACGTCTCAGGTTTACTACCTGCTGGCAAGTGGAAAACAGACTGTATCCCCAAAAGGAGTGGGAAAACCACTGCTCATAAACGGGTCTTCTGCTATACACAAACATACAGTGCTCATGTATTCATACGTACACAGAGACTGCTACCTACAGCTTCAAACAGTCCTCCCAGCATGACTGACAGTAAATGATTAACAACAAGCCTCACAGGAGCAGTATTTGAAGTGTTCCTGACTGCTCAATGCCCCCAGGCCTAAACTATCCCCTCGTTAATGGTGTAAGTCAGGGCAGCTCTGGTGATGGTACAGCAGAAATCGCTGTGCATGAGGATTTCTGTGTGAGAACAGCCCCTTGAACTACAGACTAGTTCAGTCCTGACCGCACTACAATAGGGAATTGTGTTTAAACCATGAGTAATCATGTAATCATCTCCCAGCATAGTATTTCTTTTCTGCACGCATGGAATGTAAATGGCCAAGATTTACAACTGATGATTTTGCAGATTTAATGGATTATATTTCTTTAATGGTTCTGGCAATGCAAACTCAGTTATAAACCAAAAACACAGCACCACCAAAGGAAACAGCCAAAAAGGAATCCCACGCTCACTGCTGTCTGCTTTTTCCTTTATTTGATGACTAATGTGGCACACAGTTAGGCTTTTCTAACAGTACGTAAGTGTTCAAAACCATCAAACTACTTGAGCTGGGGTGGGGGAGAAAGGTGGTCCTATGGTTAAAGTTCAGGTGTGGGAGACACACCACAATAGGTGGTAAAGCTAAATCACGTTTGGGTTAATCATAACTCTTATGCCTCTGTCGTCAGCCTAGGAAATGGAGCCGACACCCCAGTTCCTAAGCAAGGGCTGTGAAACAACAATCTCCAACTCATAAAATGCCTTGAGTTCCCCAGATGAAAACTCAGAAGAGGAGCAAACCATGAGCAGTAAAGCCTCGTGGTGTTTGATGGCTCTCGAGTCACCGTGCAAACCGGTTCAAACACCAGAACTATCCCCAACTTGAAAGCCAAGCAGCAGCGTCCCGATGGTGGGACAGAGGAGCCTTATGGAAAACGAGGGGGAGACCAGTGGCAGGAGCGTGACCAGTCTTTGCCAGTGTGAAGGACCAGACACTGGACCACAGACGAAATCTCACCCGACAACATGAGGCCTCGAGGATGAAGAACGAAGGCAAACACACTTGGCCTGATGCAAGCCACATACCTCAATGCAGGAAAACGGTGGTTCCGGTGCAGTTCAAAGCACAGCCAAACTGGTTTCACTGGAGGATGGCTAACCACTAACAACACACATCAGCATGTGTTCTGAGTGCTCTTAGGACCATACCGTTGACATTTATCATTGTGTTTCCCCCCCCGATAATGCACTAAAGTAAGTCCAGACCTTAAGGAACAACTTGCATAGTAAGAAAAGGTCATCAATTTAATCATTTACTTTAAGCAGGCAAGCAAATTTGTAAACATTCAAAAGCGGCAGCATCCAAGTTACAAACAATTTAAGGGAGGAGGAGAGGAAAAAAAAAAAAAAAGAATTGGGATTATTCAGGTTCTTTATCCTCTCAAAAATCTTGGAAATAATCTTTTAAAACACTGCAAACATTGAACACTCGGTTACGCCTCTTCTAGCCCTGCTATAGCAGTCCTGCCTCCCGAGGAAAACGCATGGTCTCGCAATCACCACACCGTTCAGCGTGTGTCGTGTGGAAGTCAGCTACCAGAGAGCACTTCACCTCCGCCTAGATCCCGTTAGCAAAGGGAATGCTTGTGTCTTGGTTCAACACCTCCTTGACTTCCGAGGGCAGCGCGTCAAAGAGGTGATCCTCCACCACGAGCCCGCTTTTCCTGAGAAGCTGACACTGCCCCAGCGTGGCTGGCAGGCGGTCCAAGCAGTTCCCCTTCAGTTCCAGGTGAGTCAGCTGCAGCAGTTGACTGACTTTATCTGGGATTGAGGTAATGCAGTTCTGCCCCAGACTCAAAGTCCTCAACTTAACGCATTTAAACAACTGTTTTGGCAAAACGTCGACTTTGTTGCCCGTGATGTGGAAATGCTGCAGGTTTTGAAGCAAACCTATTTCCACTGGAATCGACGCGATCGAGTTGTAGCTCACGTCTAAACACCTTAGTTTCTGTAAACTGAACACTGCAGCTGGTAAGGATTCGAGTTTGTTATTGGAGAGATAAAGAGACTCCAAATTCTTTATGTGGGTAATGGAGGAAGGAATGTTGACTATTTTATTGTGCCACAGCTTTAAACAAGTCAATCTTTTTAAGTGCTGGAAACTGATGATTTCTTCGATTGTGCGTATGCTATTTGACTTTAAATCCAGTTCCTGTAAGTTAGAGAGGCTGAAGATGGCGTGGGGAATTCTCTCCAGTTCACAGTTCTGCAGCTCCAACTCCGCGACGTTAGTCATTTTCTTAAGGCTATTGAGTACCACGAGCTTAGTGCCGTCATTGTGGATGACTAGCTTTGTCAGATGTGGGGCCACATCTGTGATGTTGGGGGGGATTTTGGTCAGATTGCTCTTCACGTGCAGAATCTTCAGGTGCCTCAACTCTCTGAGGGACTCGAGCCCTATCATCTTGTTGTTTTCAGAGTTCAAGTTGCCTATCAAGTACAGCTCACGGAGGTTTTTGAGCAGATACACCCATGCAGGAATCTCCGCAACGTCCGTGAACTTCACGTGAAGGCATCTCAAGTGGTCCCGCAGGAAGCTGAAGGCAGTCTGCTCGACCTTGGCAGGGCAGTGGCACAGGTGAAGCTCCTGCAGATTGGTCATCTGGGAGATCTTCGCTGGGATTTTCGCTTCAGGAATCAGCTCCAGTTTCAACACGTCCAGATCCGTCAGGTCAAACACGGCATCGGGGACGCCCGACAGCATGAAGAGGTGCAACTCCTGCTTGTCCTGGGCGTTGCGGGAAACGTGCTGCCTCAGCTTCTCGAAAGTCCACTCGTGGTTTAAACTAATTTCCCGCAGCTTGTTCTCACTTACCTCTGACAGGAAGACACCGAATCGCTTGGAATACAACTGGTCGTACTGATCTACCATATGCAAGAGAAACGCAAAGTCGTTCTTGACATCGGGGATGTCACTGAAGCTACTCTCTTCTCTGACCTTCTCAAAGGAATATTCCTTCAGAGGTATCCGGAACAGCCAAAAAAGGGTGTAGAGGCAGATAAAGCCATAGACACAAATGAGGGAAATATAGCTGATGAGCAGCTTCTTCAACATGTAAGCCATGTTGTGCGTGCACTCGAACTGGGTGTAGCCAATCAGGTGTTCCACTTTCGGGTTGCAGATGTGCTCAAAGCTAATGGTGTTGACAAAGTTTGCAGTATAGCAAAGAATAAATATGAACTTGACAGTCTTGATGACAGTCTGGCCAACATAGAGCTTGTAAATCAGATCGCTGTCCTCCACGTGAGCCCGGAACTTGCGCACTTTCTCAAACAGCGCCTTGGCTTGTTCTCCATCTTTCTTATCTAAGATAGTGACGCTGGGAACCTCGATCATCGGCTTGTCAGCTGAAAACTTGAAGCCAGACTTTGTTATCATGGGAGTGCTGGCACTCGGGCTTCCTTCATCACTGCTAGTGGAAACGTACTTGGGCAGGGACTGGGCGCCAGTTAACCGCTGTTTGTTCTCCTCCGAGTCCTCACATGCCGTTTCAGACAAGGCTTTGGTGGTCCAAGGGGACTCAAAGCACTTCCCTAATATAGACACAAAATGCTCAATTTTTGAGCAAGTCTTGGGATACTTGAACCAAAAATTGCTACTGACTATTAAAATGATAGTATGGATGAGAACGAGATAGGGAAAATACTTGGAATACCAAGGGAGAGCCAAATGATAGCACATCTGGTTAATAAATACGTATTGCTGAAAATCCAAATTGGTTTTACGGCCTGAGGAATCTTTCTGCTCCTTCTTCAGCTCCTGGCCGGATTCAGTGGGTTGATACTGAGAAGAGGTAGCTCTGCTCAGAAGTACATCAGGTGTCACAGTAGGGGCACTTCCAAAGGAAACCGTTCCCATTGATGCTACTTCTCCTTGACCAGTGGTTGTTTCAACAGTGGTGAAGTCAGCCTTCCCTGACGTGCTGGGCTGTGGCTTTGTGTTTACAGTAGACTGCAGAACTGGCAAGCAGACCACCTGGTCTTTGGTCAGCTGCATGGTTCCAGCAAAAATGGCAACCATCAACATCACAACAGCTAGATAATCCATAAATACATCCCACCATGGTTTCAGGATGCGGTAAGTTGGCTGGATGTCATTGAGCGATGCAACTTCTGCAAGGGTGAACATTCCTACAAGAGAACAAAGACCAAAATCAGGATGGGTGACCGGTGGGCAGGTTATTTCACCTTGGAGTAACAATCACACCATGACACACCACCCCTCAAGAAGGTTCCCACTCCTTGCTGCTGAGCATCCACACTGCTTACCAGATTGATCAGCTCCTTTCCCTTCAGTACCACCACACAAGCCTTGCAGCTACCACATGAATATTTGGCATAACTTTTTTAACGTGGATGTTTTACAGTAAGAAAAGCAGTTACCAATTCACTGGGCCTGTATCCATTTCTTCCCCATTTAATTAATAATCCCTCCTCAGAAAAATCCAGCCTAGCCAACCAATAAACACCTCCCATAACTTCTTCTTAACATAATGGGGGGGAAATTGATACAGTACTACTAAAAGGATTCATCTTTTCAGGTTATCATCACAGCCTGGTGACTACAGGACACTGGTTAGTCCAGGTAGCACAGCAGCAGGCTGCAAGGGTTTCACCTGAAGTTAATGCACCATCATTCACTTTAAGCACGCACTGTGGGACGAAGTGGCAAAGTGATCATGTGAGAATCCAGAACTCTCTGCAGCTTTAAACAGCCTCATCTGCTTTTTGTTTTGACAGAATCTAGAGGACTCGACTTACCAGCTTTTTAAAAAAGCAGCTTCCTGTGCGAGCAGGATGTGGTAAAAATCATCATTTCACTGCTGAACTTGTGACCCAAATTTGCCATTTCTAAAGTGCAACACGCAGCTTGTGCGTACACACGGAGCGGGGAAGGAGGCAGGATGTACATGATTCACACAGAGCCTGGCTCCCTTTGGCTGGGAGAAGACCAGCTCAGCAGAGCACAAGGAGATGAAAGCAGGCTGTATAAAGATGCACCAGACCCATGCAGCATACCAACTGGTACGGACCAGCCCCTTACAGACCCTGAAGGACAGTGTCACAGGCAAGGAATACACGACATGATAGATTATTTCTAGCCTGTTCTCTCTGAAGGTGTCAGACATTTCTCTATGCAGAACTCAAGTATCAGCCACTGCCCATATGGTCAAAGGCACACATCAGCCTCCCCCCTGCCCTGCACCAGCTCCCATGGTGTTGGTGTGCAGGAAAGGCCAGCAGTCACCGTTGGAGAGCCCAGGGTGAAAGCATCTCCTCCACCACAGGGAGGGATCCAGCCCTGGCCTCTCATGCTCCCCCCAGCAGCTTTTACTGGGAGGATACTGCATACCTAGCCCGGGATTTGGGGAAGGCAACCAGAGACAGAGGGTTTATCTCACTGCGGCACTCATCTCAATCGGTACTTTGGGCAGAGTTGCCAAAATGTGAGTTCAGGCAGCAGGAACTTCCATCTCTCTCTATTTTCCAATGAAAGTGGAACCCTGCTCCCCCATCAGTAACACAAGCTGTCAGGGTCTTACAGCACCCCAGCTCCACAAGAGTTGCCTCCCAGCAGCATGGTTCCCGAGCCTTTCCCCACACACCACCCCAGGGCTGTAGTTACAGGAGGTGCTGACGGACACAGAACAGTAACACACCCCACAGCTACCAAAGCTTTACTCCAAGTTAGCTCCAAACTCCCATGGTCTTTAATGCGTCCCGGTGCTTACCTAGACTGAGTCACAGCACGACTGCTTGCCCTAGAACTGACAATTAAGTAACATCCATGTGCACAAAACAGCATTAGTCATTTGTACTCATCAGTCATTTGTACTAACGTGGAGAGTTAGAAAAGGACCCTCCTTACTCCTGAGGCACAACTGCCACCTACCCAGGGCAGGAGAACCACACAACCCCTGCCCATAGCAGGGGATTGGAACTGGATGATCTTAAGGTCCTTTCCAACCCAAACCATTCTGTGCCTGTAACAGCAGCAGATGACTGCTGTGACAACACTGGGTGGCTGCTACTGCTTGTTCCTCTGGGGCCAGCCTTTCCCTCAACTTTGCCCTAGCTAATCACATGGGAAGTTACTTCACTGTGGTTTGGGGCACAACCTGCAGAATTCCTTTCGCAGTATGAAGGTGATGGGGTTTTTTTGCTTCTCTCATGAGAACACATGGATAAAGCACCGAAACCCAAGCGCTGCTCTCAGCAACTGAAATAATGGAAAAGAATGGTTCCAGGTAGAGACTTAGAAAGAACAGTAAAAAAGCTAAAGCTAAAAATCACCTCTACTAGACCTCGTCTTGCACACACAGAGAATGATTTCAAAGAGGTTAGGAGGCACAACAGAGCCCATGTAATCCTCTTTGTGAGGCTGTAGGCAGGGTGGTGTAACAGGAGCTTTACACCAAGAAGTACCACATTCAACGCTCTAAACATGTCTTTTCTTTCAAGTTACTGATACTCACAGAAGAGCTGCTGTTTTGGCAGAGATTAGCAGTTACAAAACACAAAACCCCCTCTGTGGTATTACTAACACTGTGTCTCATAAAAGAGACGCAGGCTTTTTTTCTAGGTACTGAAAAATCAATTCCAGGAGCTGAGAACAGGTTTCTGTCCTCACATGTCTAAAACATTTAAATGCTCTGAGTCTTAAAACACAAATGAAAGAATGTAAACCTACACACAGTGTAAGACGTTCTGACTGACTGCAAATAAATGTGGTATTTTGTGTCTTAAATCTATCATTACACGTATTGGCGTTTAATTTTACTGAACTAATAACCAGAGAAGTTAACCTATTTTTGCCGATGCTCAGAAATCAAATCATTAAGGATTACTCAGTACTGTAGTGGGGTTGGGTTTTCTTCATTCCACAGTTCAGTTTAAGCTACTTAAAGCTTTTAAAACCTGTTTTTAAAGCCAACTGTCCAGAATATTCCTTGGAGTAGGTAGATTGTGTTTTCACTGCCAACTTTCAACTCTTTTTAAGGGTGCCAGGTTGGGGCTGGGACTTCCTGATAAGCTGCAGTGATGACAGTGAAAAGGGAATAAAGAGGGGAAAAAAGAGGAAGAATGTCTGATTTTTCATGGTGAAAACATCCATTTCATTCAGCCCTTTTCAGGGTTTACAAGCCACTGAAAGGACCTTGATGAGGCTCACTAGAACATGGAGTTTTAACACACTGAGCTCTAGACCCAAACTGGAAAACTGTGGTTCTTGAAGTGATTTTTAATTCCCATTATGGAATTTCAGGACACTGTCTCCTTTTTAAACCAGCAGATTCTAGTTTAGTTTTCATAAGCACAGATTTTAATTCAAGCCTGTTGCAGTATGACCTTTTGGGCTTCCCCCCCAAAACCCTTTGTCTGCAGTTCTGTAACTTGGATGATGCTCTAAGGTAACATGAACCTCTCCCAGCTCCATCCATTACCTCCAGCTGTCTACTGGGTGCAGTCTGTCTTGTGGGGAAAAGAAACAGATAGTTCTTTAACCTAAACACATAAACTGTTCTAAGCACAACTGCTTCTTGCTACAATTTTAGGTAGAAAAACTTCACATTCTGAAGGCAGTGTTAATACTAACTCCGTTTTCATTGCTGTTTCATATGGAGCTCTAGAACTAAACCCGCTTTATTTTGCACTCGTGTAAGTTACAGTGAAAACAGAATCTAAAACCAAAACACTGACATTGACAATACAATTGTTCTAAGTTAAAGTCCAACCTTAAATCAAAGGTTAACAACCAATTTCCTAAGTCACACTTAGCCAAATGTAATCCTTTCATTAGCCGTAAAGAAAAGCTATGGTAGAAAGAGCTCAGAATGTGATTAACCTAGTGAATTTTCCTGACATATTTCAGGCTATAAATGCTGAAATACACAGTGCACATATTGGGGTTATTTCCTAAGAAACTAGCTTAAATACAGAAGTTAGAGGAAAAGGAAGCAGCAGATTGGTATGTCACTAATGTTTATTTACATCCCACTTCTTCCTGTACTTACTGATAAAACATGTCTGCCTCTGTAACTCACTGCCCCTCCTGTTTTAAAAGCATATTTCAACTTAAAGCAAATCTAAAGTTAGAACAAACAAATAAAACCAGAACTGTAGCACATGAACCTCTCATCTCACTTGCAGGTTCCCAAGGCTCAGAACAAGCCCACTTTGTTCCAGGAAACAAAAAGATTCTTGAATTAGCCTCGTCACCACAACTGGTCAAGAATTTCCTAATAATAAAGAAAACATTTCTAGTTGAAAAGAAAAAGTGTTGCCGTGAACAAAATGGTTTTCTCCCTTCCCACAGGAAAGTAAGGAGGAAAAAAGTTTTCCCATAACTAAAAGGCTTTGCTAGCTTGCTTTTGATCAAGTGACCATAGGTTTAAGTTTATTTCCACTGTATAGTTTACTCTCTTCTTTCCACCAACCATTTCGACTTCCTTTGTTTTTCTCCTTCTGCACCATCCCTATTAAGGCAGGCAATTAGACCTTAATGTGATAAGAACAGATTATGAGATTCCTCTTAGCCAGGATGCAGCAAACATCAATTGTTCCACAGACAATCTGCAAAGATCAAAGAGATGGCACCATCCCTTTTCTTCCCTTCCCCACAGAACCACATGTAAGGAGCCCCAGAGCCCTTGTGAAACAATGCATAAAGACTAGAACACATTCAGAGGAGAGCCTACGAATGGATTCATGCATTCTGAGCATACAGACACATTCATCACCTGCACTGGTTATTCACTTCCTGAGATTAAGTTTAAAACAAACTGAAGGCGGTTTAACCAAAACACCAACAGGCTTCGGGTCCAGTAATAGAGGGAACTGTCCCTCCTAACCTAACTGGGAATATTCCCAGCCCAGATTGCAGCCCCGAGTGCGCTGGCTGAGGCACTGCCTCCGGATAGGTGTCGGGAAGCAGCAGCCCATGCACCAGGAGCCTGAAAAGCCCAGGAAAACATTCCACAGCAAGATGCAACACAGGTATTTTTATAGTGTTCTCTACTACATGAAGTGTTTTGCTACTTCAGCAGCAGCAGAAAGAACTGCAGAACATTAACCACCACCAGAACACAAGGACTGTGTGTACTAAGTACAGCTTACGGCATCAGATACTTCCT